GTTGTGATCTAATTTTTTTGTATTTTCATGAGATTGTTTTCTGATGAATTTTCTGTGAAGATTTAATGATTGTAAGCAAAATTAGAGACAGAACAGTGAGATAAGAAGTTGATAGAGGAGAGAAGGAGATTTGGAGAAGAAAGAGAAATTGAGAAAAAGGAATAATTTGGTTAAGCATCAACATGCCGTTTCCTTAGATTTTCTAATACATATAACCACCTAGTGGGTCCCATACGTAATTTAACCCAGCTTTTCCCCAAAAGGTGAAAACAACAAAAACTGAAAATACATATTTTAAACTTTAATAATAAAAAGGAAATTGGACACTTGTATCTCCTGGATCATAACTCAGCCCTCTTCATCTACGGCTCCTGTGGAGACACGTGGCAACTCGACAGCCTCCTCACTTGTCCCCTTCTTTTGGTCTTTAGTCAACTTTCCCTTTTCAACGCCTATTTTCAGATCTGCATCCCCGTCGAGGCTTATTTTCCTATCAATCTCACCTGAAAACACAACATCACCCTGCTCCTCTGCAAGCTGGCCCTCAACGCCGGCATGCACCCTTTCGTCTACCGCAACCGCATCGCCGCGGCCGCCGTCACACCCCTCGCGATCATCTTCGAGAGGTGCGTATGCACGTACTGCCATTGTTGCACTTCAACGTAACCTGCTTTGTTTCCTCCGTTGCTTCACAACGTTATTTGACCCTGTATGTCTAGTGTTTTGTTTGAATTTGGAGCGACTATCATTTTCACTGTTAATGATCAACAATTACGAACGAGATTTTCATTGTTGGGTTTTCACCTGTTAATAAACCGTGCAGTTGTGAGGTTTTTGGGCTCAGTTTCCCTTATAAACCGAGTCAATTCTATTTCTTCTTAATTAAATTGCAGAAGCACCACGGGCGCCTCGCTGCCGATGGGGATGTCGCCTACCACTGAAAGCATAGCGCCGGTAAATCCTGTAATAAATCCAGAAAAATGCGAACACCGGTGCCAAATCTAGGATTTGAAGCCGGGTGGGCAGGCTCCACCACTAGGAACCTAACCACCTGAGCTACGCTCAGTTCACAAGATTAACCTAACATGATCTTAGCACCTTAACATTTCTGGGAACCATGCAAGTTTGTTCTATAAAATCCAGTTCAAGTATTTCCGAAAATCTAGCTGCGAGTTCTAAAACCTATCAGTAATTGTGAAAGTTGTTAACGATTTCCAAAAGAGTAAAAGAAACATACTTCGACAATTTATTGGGTACCTGACAACAATTTAAAACCTCTTCAACAATCTGAGACCCGAGAAAAATTATTGCTAGCAAATTTTTAATTTAATTATTCACTACTATATAAGGATCTGCAGTATTACCACTATTTGTTGATCTCCCGTTCTGGATCCCATCCCAGTTTTTACTGCCTTCGAACGTCCGTGACAAATGTCTGCAACAGTAAGAACCAGAAAACAGTGCTCTTTTCTTTCTGGGACTTATTAGGACTCTGTTGTGTATTTCACTTTTCAAACATTATATCACCATCTAGAAGTACACTAGTACAGTGATGATATCACGACTTAGGTTATCTATCTGTTGTTTGAATTTTAGGCAATTGCGACAAAAGCTCTTCTTAATTCGTATGTGCCCTTTTTTTTTCTTTTGGAGCAAAGACATCATACTAGAGCGCAATCCGTCCAGCATCACTGGGTGGTGACGCCCAAGAAACATAGTACTGGTACAATACTGTGATATGCTTACCTCATAGTAGATCGCTATTGGCTACTGTGAAATGGGTTGTCGTTTACAGTTCTGGTTTGCTGTAGAACAATCAAGTAGTACATACTTTTATTCTTGCATGCAGTGTTGCACACATCTACGATCTACTGATTTTTTTGATCCGGGAATTTTGGTTCATCAACGGTTGAAAGTCCTGACACCGGCTATCCAAGTTAATAGCTGCTGGCAGACAACTCTACATTCAATCCAAGAGGCAACTAGTACCGCTGCAACTTGCTGCACAATTACCTAAAAAATGCAAATCGATTCTGTCAGTATGATTGTCTTTTTCATATTATAGTAGCAAGGATCACTAACTCGCCTCAAGTATGGTGGGTTTTTAGCTTTTTTTTTTTGGCCATCCTGAACTTGCCTTGTAGTAGGAGACCGAAGAAGAAATGATAACTGTAAATGTATCTCTGTCGTAGTGCCATCACCACCATCCCATCATCCAAAAGCTGCAGCTACACTCTTCTCGCGTGCTGGGAACCTGGACTGGGCAATGAGATCACGCTTGCTGACTAACGACTCCACCTCGGATTAAGCTAAGGAGACATGCAATCATTAACTCTGTTCAGACTGTAACTCGTTGAAAATTAATAGCGCTCAAACAGTTAAAACTGCCAAGTTAACTGCTGTTTGCGTGTAGTATACTCCCTCCGTTTCAAAAAGTAAGTCGTTTTGAACATCGACACGGTCTTCAAAATGTTTGACTAATATATTTACTCTAAAATATATTTAAAATAGTCAAAATATACTTTTATGAAACAATATGTCGAGATAAATATACTAATAGTATTTTCACATCTCACAACTAAACACATAAAAATTTATTTATAGTCAAAGTTTGAAATGGCTGACTTAGGACAAACTCAAAACGACTTCCTTTTTGAAACGGAGGGAGTATGCTAGATGAGAAGCAGTAATAGGATAGTGACCCCGTATACTCCCTCCAGTCATTTACACATGATGTTTCGGACAGCTTTTGCAGTTTATTTTCTTCTACTTCTTTTTGTCGGGGCTCATGTATTCTTGACCGGAGGGAGTACTACTTACAAAACTAATATAGATTCCCATTGCATTGAGCCTGAGTTTCAAGGTTATCGCCTTTGTTTTGTGTTTTCTGATTGAAGATGGACTCCTATTCAGTTTTCATTTAACCTGTCCACGTCATTCTAGTCAAGTTTTCTGTTGTTTCCGCAGTTTTAACATGCCAAGAACGATTGCAAAATGCAAATATGTTCATGTAATTTTCTTTAATATTATGAGTCTTGGTTTAAACAAACAGAAATTCTGATTCATATAAAATTGCCTTTCCTGCACTACAGTTATGGTTCTCTTGAAAAATACATCATCTTATCTCGATTTTTTTGTTTTGTTTTTACATCTTTTCATGTTGTAGGGAAATGTGGAAAAAGGTGAGCATGGTTATATGGGGTTGGATTTTCATAAGTGCTGCATTCGGGTGAGCATTTTCATAAGTACTTAGCTACTCTGTCATTTGATTTCGGGGTTTTCATTAAAATTGTGAATCTGGGAAAAGTGGTGGCAAATTTGGTTACAACATTAGAAAAGTAGCAAGATGGAAAAGATATAGATTATCTGTCAGAGGGTTTACTCATCAGTAACAATCTATTGGACAGTTGTAGGTGCATATAACAATGAACTCCCTCCATGCTCAAATACTTGTCGCTGGCTAGTTCAAAATTGAACTAACCAGCGACAAGTATTTGAGAACGGAGGGAGTACTCCGTATCAAGCAATGTGTAGTGTCAGCAAAGTCTACTCCGTGTATGACAAAAGAAAAACAGTACTGAGATCGACCATGCATTGCAGCTACTGAAGTACAATTCACACAAGAAAATTATCTCGAGTTCCTGTACAGGGGCATGCTGTAGTTGTATACACATACGATGAGTGCCAATTATTTTATTATTCTATAGTACCATTTATATATGAAAAGCTATGACAATTTTGACCTCAAATACCTTGCTCTATCCATTTGGGGAACTGCCTCATGTAGAATCGTCCTGGCAATGGGTCTGTACTACTACAGCCTGCGGGCGACCAGCGCCGCATACTCTGTCAACTTCCTGAACCTGATCCCCGTCGTCACCTTCGCCATCGCCATTGCGCTCCGGTAAACGATCGTCTAAGCATGAAGCCACTCACGACGATGTCATCCACATTTCCAGCCATTGCTGACGTATCTGGATCTTCCGCATGCTTCCGCCATCTGCTCCAGGGCCGAGAAGCTGGCGCTCGCGAAGTGGCCTGGCAAGATGAAGCTCCTGGGCACACTGATGTGCGTATGCGGCGCGATGTTCGTCAGCCTGTTCAGAGGCCGACGGTTGCACCTGTGGCCTACCCACTTGCTGAGATACCTCACGGCCCTGCACCGGCGAGCCCCAACGGCCTTCACCACGGCGTGGTCGCCGGAACATTGTTCTTGTGCGGCAGCTGTGTGAGCTACGCCGTATGGTTCGTGGTTCAGGTACCACCAGTTCATCCTCGTTACACTCCTGAAGATGTGACGCCTTCTTTGAATCCATGTGTGTATAACTGAAATGACAGGCTAGGCTTGCGAAGGTGTTTTCATCCAAGTACTTGGCGACAACACTGACGTGCCTTGTGGGAAGCCTGCAATCCTTGGTGGTTGGCATTCTCCTCGGACATGGCAGAGCTGAGTGGAAGCTCAAGTGGGACCTGCAGCTTCTGACCGTCGTCTACTCGGTGATTAGTGACAACACATATCATCAGCTGCCAGTTGATCTGATCGGTTCTCCCTAATAACCATCTTGCTTTTCCATGCCGGTGTCGGCCGTCAGGGGGTATTCAACACCGGCATCACGTACGTGCTCGTTTCGTGGGCGATCAGCCGCCGCGGTCCGATCTACCCCTCCATGTTCAGCCGCTGCTGCTGATCATCACCACGGTGATGGACTCGCTGCTGCTTGGCACAAACGTCTAGCTTGGGAGGTGAGCTAGCGCTCAAGAGATCAGCACTTCTTCAGTCGTTTGTTACTTGAAAAGTAGTAGCAGCAGCGATGATCTTTGTGATCTATTACTAGTTGCCTACAATACAGTGTAATAAACATTGTGACCATGTGCACTTGTGACAGTGTGCCGGGGACATTGCTGATCATCCTGGGGCTGTACGCCTTCCTGTGGGGTAAAGGGAAGAAGCTGCAGCTCGCCACCACACAGAAACCGTTCGGCAGCGACTAGGAGGCGCGGGAGCAGGTTGGAGATGCCATGGCCTAAGCCTTGGTGGTTTGCTGGCTAGCAACTAGCATGGTGTGACCTTATAGGTCGCAAGATGAACGGATTAACTACCAGCAGTTGCTGGTAGCGAGCATGCATGACTTGTGACGAAACAAATCATGTGCATGCAGCTTCACATTATGTGCATAGCCGGTTTAAAATGGATTGTATTTGCACGTTGTATAGATTTTCTACCATTAGCTTAAAAAAAAGATGCTAGTAGGAGCTAGAAAAGTTATAAGAAATGACTGTCTAGTCATCTGCAATAGGTTTAGTCACGTTGTATACAACACCGGCAACGTTTATCAATAACCCTCCACCGAATCACACAGTCATCAAGCCATAGCTCCTGAATTAAATGCACTAACCTGCTAAGCTCTAGACCCTACTGAAACCAGAATGGTACCAACACAATGATTCACTATCTCTCATGGCAAGCATGGCATTCATACATATAGTCGCACATAAAAACATAAAGGGAACTTACCAGCATACAGATGTTACCTTAATATTGCTCAGGTACCCTGCAGATCTCACTTGCACAGAAGTTCATGGTAGTCTTCTGGACATCAAGCTCAGCCAATCCTTGCAGTGTTGCCTTCCTCACATCGACAGCAAACATCATTGCCAACTTGTCCATGTTCCTGGGTCTGGTTTGAGAAATCAAGTAAACGACATCATCATCCATGCTTAGGATGGGGTATCCCAACGGAAGTTCCTTCATGTTCCTGTGGTCTTGCTGCTCAGCATAGCCATGAGATCAGAAAGACATGGGTCACCAGCCTCCAAGTTGATGTCTTCCACGTCAACTACACAGTCACAACGCCAGCCCTCCGACGAACCAACCGGTATTGCCATGTTCCATGTTGTCGACTTCCAGCCATCACGCTTGAGCTGGGGTTTCCTTGAGCTATTGCGCACCCAGTCAGCATAGGAAACAGGGGTGGCATTCGGCTCTTCTGGTGACAGGACTTCCCACCATTCCCATTCCAACTC